ATATATATATATATATATATATATATATATATGTATGTATGTATATATATTTCAATACCATATAATTCATATACATGTATATACGCAAATCATTATCATTATGGCTGTTTCTTCTGTGCACAATGTACACAATGCACAATTCAAGGTATATGCAACCGTCAATAAATGCATTTGTATCATATTGCGTTAAACCTCTAGGTTGCGTTTACTTGACAATACTTAATTAATATCGGTACTATAATATTTTTAATATGTTACAAGAATGTGTGGTAAGAAAGACTTATGTTGTGTCAGCACGACTTACAATTGATTAGCTACCAGTGGTGAATCAGTGATGTCGACAACTCTATCCTGACCAACCATTTGATTGTAAGCTTTCTGGCCTATTACCATGGTAGGTGCATTCCTGTTTCCAGATACTACTGTGGGCATGACGGAGGCGTCGATCACCCTGAGTCCTTCCATTCCATGTACTTTCAGACCATTGGAGTTATCCACCACTGCCATAGGGTATGATGATGGACTCATTCTACAGGTAGATACCGGGTGGTAGATGGATTCAGTATTTTCACGCAGATACTCCTTGATGTCTCTGTCGGTAAGGTTGTTAACATCCTTATCGCCAAATCCACTAACCATCAGGTTATCTTCTGCCAGGGTCTTGGTTTGAACCAGCTCGATGCTCTTTCGTACTGCAGCCACCATGGGGTCAAAGTCGGCGGACACATTGTAGTAGTTGGGGACAATCAGTGGCCCCTCCATTGGGTTAGCCGAATTCAGACCGACTGTCCCGCGAGACTCGGGCCGCATATAGCACGATTTGACCGAGATGCCACCACCGTATCTTAAAGTGGCACCATGATCTTTGTAGTAGAAGGGTGCGACATGCATTTGAAAATCATTAGCGGGAATATCAGGCTTGCTTTTGAAGAAAGAGCCGACCATTTGATTGTCTCCCATGAACACTCCTTCTTTCTTGAAAAGACCTAGGAAGAAGTGCTTGATCTGACTTGGTAGGTTGGTGAGCCCGATTTGCAGTGGCATACTTATTCTCGAAGTTTTTGCATTTACGCAGATGTCGCCATGATCCTGAAGATTCTGTCCCACTCCTGGCAATTCATATACTACATCAATTCCGTGCTTAGTAAGCTGGTCCTTAGGGCCAATTCCTGAAAGCATCAGTAACTGTGGACTGTTAAATGCACCACCACACAGGACAACATCGTTTTTCGCTTCGAATGTTACGGCGTTAGCAGAATCTGAGCTGCCTGATACCACTGCATGCACTCCAGTCGCCCGTTTGCCTTCCGTGAGTACCTTTGTGGTATGAGCATCAACAATAGCATCCAGTTTTGGGCGAGCTCGGACCTTTGGGGTCAGAAAGGCAACACCAGTGCTGCAACGTCCACCTTTGGTCTGTGTGTACTGATAATACCCTACTCCAGACTGGTCTGCTCCATTAAAGTCATCGGTTGTTTTCCATCCCAACTCGTTGCCTGCTTTGACAATGCGCTTACTGTATGGGCCAATGTGATTCTGCGTCCGCACATGAAGAGGTCTTTCGTTACCGTGGTATGGGTTATTTTTAAGTGTATTATTATTCTCCAATTCCTTGAAAATGGGTAGTACATTCTTCCATTCCCAACTGTTGCATTTATTCTCCTCAGCCCACAAGTTGGTGAAGTCATATTCAAGCCGCGAATATATACCATAGCGTTAATCGCAGAGGAGCCACCGACACCGCGACCACGAGGCTGTAACTTGTTCCTACCGTTACAGTTCTTCTGAGGTGTTGTTCAGTATCGATGGTTGTACTTTATACTGTAGCGAACGGTCCAGAAAAACCCACTGGGGTTGCGGATGAGCTGTGTGTTATCATCTAAGCCTGTCTCTAGTAAAGCCACTCGTACATTGGGATTCGATGCGAGGCGATTGGCCATTACATAGCCGGCACTTCCACCACCAACAACCACATAGTCGTAGACCTGCTTAGTAGAAGCAGGGAGAGATCGAAGAGACTTTGAGAGTGACATTTTAAATAGCTAAAGTACATATATTCTGGGGATCATAATGACCTGGTGAGCGCTTAAATATCAGAAAGTAGACTTTTGTACATAGCCATCGGCCCATAATGCGGTGCATCCAGCGATAGATATTTGCTTGAATCATTAATCAAACTGACGTAGCGTATATGTAGTTCTATATTAATGCGTAAACCTATCGCGCGCGTAGGAGCCTTAGGAGCGCTAAGATTTATCCCGCGTACATACACGGTAAAAACTAAAAAACTAAAAAAGAAGAAAACAACTCACTATGTACATAGTGTCATAGTCACAACATAACAGGCTTTTTCAGAAACAAATCATTTTCACGAAAATTTTAAAATAAATCGCCAATCGGCTGATATTCAGTGAAACTCCGGAGTTTCCGGATCCCAAAAATACAACTGTTGAACTCCTCTGCCGATTGTCAGAGCCTATGGATCAGGTTCTGGGGTTTTTTTTGTATTTTGTTTTGTAAAAAAAAAAGAACAAAGGCGCAAATCACAATGCGTGAATATTATAGCCTACCAATTTATATGCATACATAGTAGGGTTTTTAAAATTACATAGTTCGTGCATAGCAGTATAGCCTTTGTTCTATTTATAAGCAGCTATGATATATCATATCAACAATATTCTGTGAAGATAGCTGAAAAGTATAAAAGCAAACATTTGTGGAGATATCGATCATACAATTTAATCATTCAGGAGTGCAAAGCAAGCCTGCCTCCGCAACAAGAATGAAGTTTACATACGCACTGCATGCTACAGCTATATGCGCGACAGCGGCAGCCCTAGACGATAGTTACAAGCCTGCTTCAGATTCATCAAGCAGGCGATTGCTGACTCAGTTGCCAACCTTCAGATTTTACGGACTTCGAGAATGTGGAAAGAGGATTTGTAGTAGCACCGGCGAGTCTAAGAGTACTTGATGAAAACGGTCAAGTGGCATCGGATTCCGATCCCTTTCTAAAGATGATTCACGACGATGTTCCCTGTCCAGACAGTGTCAATTCATCTACCTGGTGACAAGCTCAATTGATGACCCGGGTAGGAGCCTGCAAAGTTATGGACAAGGTGTACCAGATTCGTGGATTCGATTTGGCGGTGATGACCATCATTGAAGCACCCTAAGGTCTTATTGTATTTGACCCCCTTGGCACCAAAGCAACGGCCAAAGAGGCGTCTGACTTCTATTTGAAGGAGGTTGGACCGAACACGGGCGCCAATCTGACACTAGCTGCTGTAGTATTCACACACTCCCACATGGACCACTTCGGAGGGGTTCTGGGACTGGTAGATGAAGAAACTTGGTTCAAAGGAAACATTCAGATTGTTGCACCACTCAATTTTGCCGAGGAGGCACTGTCCGAAAACTACATGTTCATTGGAAATATGGGTAGACGGGCATGGTGGCAATTCGCCAATCTCCTACCTGCCAACGAAAACGCAACTATTCATGCTGGTCTGTCGTTCACGCAATCCAACTCCCTATTCACATACGCCGCCGAAGGCACTCTGGAAATCACGAAAGATATTGAAACACACACCATTGCTGGGATCACTTTTGAGTTTATGTTCACTTCGAATGCAGAGACTCCCGCAGAAATGCACACATAGGTTGAAGACTGGAAACTGCTAAATACCGGCGAGAATGCTGTGATGTCTGCCCACAACTTTTTGACACTCCGGGGAGCGAAGGCAAGAGACCCAATGAAGTGGACCACGTGCATTCAACAAACTATCCGGAGATACGGTAGTCGAGTTCAAACTATGATCGGTCAGCACCACTGGCCGAAGTTTGGAAACGAAAACGTAGAAGAACATCTCACTATGACCCGCGACTACATTAAATTCACTTATGACCAATCTGTTCGACTACTGAATCTTGGATTTGGTATGGAGGAAATCAGCGAGACAATCGAAATGCCCAAGTCCATGGACTCGTACTTTAATATACGTGGGCACTACGGTCACCTCAAACACAACTCCAAGGAGGTATATCAGTTTTACGTCGGCTGGTGGGATGGCAATCCCGCAGGTTTCCAGCGTCTACCCCCGGTGGAGAGAGCGCAGCAGTTTGTGGCTGACATGGGTGGGATTGAGGCTGTTATCGAGCGAGGCCAATGGCATCACGACAATGGTATCTACCGATGGTTTGCTGAAAGCATGACTGGAGGCCAGATATCTGGAGGCTGACTGTCGGAGCAAATCGGTTATGCCGAAGCGAGCGATATCCGACGAAACTTCATGCTCACAGGTACCCAAGAGCTTCGCCACGGCAAGAAAGCGTACCCAGAGCCAGATTTGGACGAATCGATCCTGTTGGAAATGCCACTCTGGATGATGTTGCAGGGCTTAGAGATCAAAATTGACCCCACCATGGCCGAACAGTCCAATGGCTTGTCACTAAATTTGGAGGTGAAGGATACCAACGAGAAGTTCAACATCATCATATCACACGCCGTTCTGATTTCCCTCCCAGTCGATGTATTACCCACCACTGCCCGTGCTACCATTACCGCTGATAGCAAAAAGGCGATGATAAATGTACTATCCACTGGTGATACCTCAGGTGTGGCTATCACAGACGACAAGACTGCCTTTGCCGAGCTGATGGGATATGTCTCCACTGCGTCAGATGGAACCTGTAACATCATTGAACCGCGTGAACACTATATTCCAAAGCCCCAAACTACATATCCCCAATCACAAACTCTGGCATCCACAGCAGAACCAGTCTCTTGTCCCACTAGTGAAGATCTCTCTACAGGTGCTTGGGTAGGTATTGTGCCGTGATTGGCACCTCTTTGGGAGCTATGGCAAGTTTAGCTCAGAATCAACAACTAAACTTGACGATATCAGTCAGGTAGAATAATATAGAATAATATCAACATAGGCAGTATATAATTTAACCGATAAATAAATCAGATCCGAATCGAACCGTATTTGTAGTTAAATGTAGACGTTTGGTTTACGATGGTCTACTGCATTTCGCAGCAAAAAAATTGAATAGAAAATGTTTTGTATGTTTAGGTGTGTGATATGCATATACACTTTATTACGAACTTTAGCATTGTATTGATCTAATGACAGAGATATATGTAATGACAGAAAAACATTGTTCATCAACGTGTCGATTAATCATGATGCACGATAAAACATTGGTATGTATGCGTATATCCATATATATATATATATATATATGATATGTGTGTGTGTGAATACATAAATATAATATATATATATACTTACATACAAAATTATATATATATATATATATATAAATACATACATACATTATATATATAATAAAACTACATATATATTATATATATATATATAATATATACTATATACATTATATATATATATATATATACATATGTAAATATATATATACATATGTAAATATATACAAATATATATAGATACATACATACATATATATTGGTATATATTTACATATGTATATGTATATATACATACATATGTAAATATGTACCAATATATAAATATATGTATATACATATGTAAATATATACAAATATATATATTTATATATATACATAAGTAAATATATACAAATATATATGTACAGATAGAAATTTATTTATATATATATATACATATCTTACTAGTCTATTTTTTTAATCTTTTAATATGTTACCAATGCTGTAATCTACTGTAACTGTAGATACTGCACACTAATTTACCTGCCTCACCAGGTGAAATTTCAGCCGGCATTGTAGTTGGTACCAGAACAGCTACCAGCTGGAATCATTCGTACTATCACTAACCTATCCACCAAATTCTGCTCCGATGACCTTCGTCTGACTATATACATATATACCTATGGATACACATACTGTCGTACATATATACATACATATATAAGTTCTATATGTATATGTGGGTATATGTGTGTGCTGCCTATTTGCACAGAATAACATCAACGACTACTCGCGAATATGAAAAGTCCGTTATCGCCAATTCATCTCTCCCAGTCCCGACACTTCTGCGTCATACAATTATATAGCTTCACATATTGCATATATTGCATGTGTTACCGGGACCGCTACCACTTGCTATCAGCACTACAGACTGATACCAACTAGATCAGCTACTAATCCCAACAGATTCCTACGAGTAGCTGTCAGAAATGAAATTCGAAAACATCTCCCATCGAATACACCTGTAAATACTCTCTTCCACTCGCAAACTTCAGCAAGCTGTACTGCCCCATAGCAGCAGCTCGCCACTACACACTGTTTCCATTAGTTTCGTCCTCACCAATGTTTTTCCGTTTCGAATTTCGAGAAGTCGAATCAATTGTACCACAGCTACATAGGCACACAGTTGGCGCTTGGCACAACGCACACTCCTACCAATAGCTACTCAGGAGCATCAACAGGCCGTCATCCACCACTTTGCACCCGCGCATGCTTTTCTCCACATGCAAATGTTTCAATGAGTAATACTGCCACAACGCTGCAGCCACCACCATGCCGTGCCACAGTTGGTGGCTCGAAAACCAGATCTGGAATCGGCCCGGGAATCGGGATTCGGGAAACTTTGTCACGTAAAACACGGCACCGCCGGAGTACAGAAGTAGGAGAACAAACCACTTCGCCACCCGACCAACTGTATGGGAAGGAAATACTAAGATTTGAATTTGAAACAGTGCACTTTCGGAGGTAAATCGAGCTTCAGTGGCACAGAAGATTATATTTGCGACGGGACTTTATATAGAACATTGTTGAAATTTAAAAAAATATCAACCACAGTTTGATTAAGTGTTGGACTGTCAATGAAGATCTTACAATTCGGTATAGAATTACTAAGGCAATGTCCCGATACGGGCCGCATTTGTTCAAACAAAACAAAGACCTTATCAAAAGCAATAGATAGGAAGAGACGTGCGTGCACTCTGATAACAACCAACTGACCTCCTTCTGTCGCTGCCACACTCATCATTGGGATGACGGCGAACGCGCCAACACCGAAGAATATTCCCAATCGGTAGTGCATATATCTGAAGATACCGACAACACGCAGGATTCAGGTGATTAGACGGGTAATAAAATCACATGGTGTGCGTCTTGTGGGTGAACCATATCCGAGCCAAAAGCTGTTCCTACCCCACAATGTATATATATATATATATATAACCAGTGTGCGAGATTGTAATAATGAGGGGGTTAAGCATTAAATTGTGTGCAAACAGCCGATTCGCGTGAATAAGGAATCATGCAGAGTGCGCAAAACTTTGCCGTGAAAGATTTTACGACAGATGCTCAAATTATACGCATTGAGCACCAGAAATCACAAGTTGATACAGATTGTGTACTATTTGACATCAGTAGCTCTAGCTAGGTCTGAGTTAACTTGCCTATCATCGCTAGGATATTCAAGGTTGTACATATATATGTATATGTGTTTCAATATATAGCTGCGATATATGCGTATAAATATACAACTGCAAATCCGTTTTTGTGTATATATACATAACTGCAAAACCGTTTGCTTTTGCCCCTCAACTTGCCTGTCATCATCGAACTTTGGCGAAAACGAGAAGATTACGCCTGTAATGACCAGTATCGTAATGCCCACTTGGTAGACTGTCCGCTCTGTTGATTGGCAGTAGAACTCAAAGTACAGACCCGAGAAGAAGGACCCGTAGATCATCACAAATATCCCCAGGTAGTCCAACATCACCACCTGCGAGTATTCGGGATCAAGAATGAGGTTCTATATTCACTACGATTCCCGGATGATCCCACATATTGAGCGAGAAAATGGGACGAAGTTAGTTTTGAAATAGGCACGTCGAGCAATTTAGTGACATTCGACTAATCTCGTGGCAGAACAGCGACTAAAGGCAATATAAATGGCTCTATCATCAAGACATCCAATTTAATAGAATCTACGGATATCCTATTTTACCGTCAGACTAGTTTATACATCTTACACGACTAACACTTTAGGTTATGGAGTTACTTGCAAGTTATTCGATAAAATACAAATAGAGATTGGATGCATGCAACTTCATATAAGTTTGAGTATCTTGAAAGAATAGCACTTGAGGCGATGAAGTTACTTGCCAGTAATGTCATAAAATACAAATAGTGATTGGATGGATGCAACTACTTACCAGCTTATAGATTTCGTACGAATAGCATTTGAAGGTATGGAACAGGATCGAGCCAGTGAAACAGAGCGCACAGCAGACGGCAAACACAGTCAGCATCACACTATCCATGATGTGGTAGTTCTGATATTCCAGGCCTGCCATAGAACATGTATCCGGTTAGTATGATATGACGGGTACGTACCCGGTCTGATGATGCATAAATAGTTGCATGCTCTAGCATGTTAACCGTGAAGCAGCGTGAGAACACAAGCAATAGATATGCCGCAGATACACAACTGGCGCTATTCACCTGTCGTCGAAAACAATGAATATGTATATCGTTACGCACAAACAGGTGGGGTGCCACAGCTTCTGAGGCAGTGGTACAGACTTAAAGCTATGTATGCGTGCAAGATTGATTGACATCTCTATAAATAGAAGCCTTCGAACATGTATTTGATGAGAGAAGTACTATTGCATACCGTTCCTACTCTGCGAACAGAAGAGTACAACAACGGGCGGAGATTAGAGCAGGTACTGCAGTATATACCACTGGAAACGCACACTGCAATTGAATATGACAAGTCTCAACGAAACATTTACGGAGGAAAAGGCTACAACCACCCAGCATCCGACCATTATCGGGTAATCGTGGGAACAGAAGTTATGTCCATTCGAATAGAATATAGAGTACAAGCTCAAAGCCGCATACTTTCTCGTATAGACGTTTAACGCGAGAAGCTCTGTATGATATTTTATATTGCTCTCTTAGTCGCAAATAGTTGTTGTACGGGTTGTTAATGACAAAAATCTAATCGTGCATGTTATCTAATATGACGTTGAACGCGAAAAAGCGTGTATATATTTCATATCGCTCCCTTAGTCGCAAATAAACGTACAGTAATTACCTGTCAATGAAAGAAATCCAATCGTGCATATGAAGCCGAATATATGCGTCCAGATATTGACCGTCTGTGGAGATGTAGTGCGATGTCAAGGTCAGCGGCAATATTTGTAAACTGCCCTCCATATTAAAATAAATCCTACTCAAACAGAGATTAAGCGACTAAATTTTGCGTACCTGTAGCTCTAATAGTTATTTTGTTGATAATTGGGAGACTTACCTCCCGAGATATTTCAAACTATATTCTGCTTATCTGTAGCTGGGGTATTAACATGCAGGACAATCCATAATATGCGTATCTGCAGCTGTAATACAAATAAGAAGTGCAATATGGTCTCACCTCATTGTGGAGTCGGAACATAGACTGCAGACCGTCGACAAAGGAATCTATTCTGGGATAGCCATAACTGTGAGTGTTAAATGGGGGTGTATTAAAAATTATTTTTTGATATTCCCTAAAACACAGACTATACATATATGCACAGGAACCTAGCTACATATAGTATATACCTTGATTGTTTAGCCTTTTCGTTATGAAAGGTAATGTGCTATATATAGCTAGCCCAAGGATCAAAGCCTATATATTCAAATGACAATTACAAAGTACTAGAACTAGGCACCTTGTAGCGCTACTTTGATGCAGGCAACGAGCCAACAGGTTCAACTAAGTTTGGTTATAACGCTTATGGGTAGCGTGGCGGTTCTAAATAGTACGTAAGTGCTCAGGGAATAAGCAATATACGAGAATACTGGTGATTATCAGTCGCATTCCAATATGTGTATGCCAAAGTTGATTAAACTGGTTTATAATCTACATAATATGTATTGCGCAATGAGTTCATACATATGTGGTGAAAGTTGAGAATGACGAATACTGCGTATGACTGTTAGGGGCTGGCATAGCAAGGGATGTGATCGAAAAGTAAGTGGCCAGAAAGGAATGATGTCTGTGTCCTAATAATGGCTCCATGTAGGAGCGATACCCTGAAGGTGGAGTCGAAGATCAGCAGTGAATGTTGTACAGTAGATTCATAATGTAAGGTCACTATATGAACGAAGAATTGATAGTTTAGTACATACTGGAGCACAAAAGGTAGAAAACATGTGAATCAGCTAAATGGTATACCTTACGCTATTACCACAGCTTTAACAAGTGTACGATATAAATGTACTGTATATAGAGCAGGCCGGCCTGACAAATGATGTACAAAGAACATACTTGGAAAATATAAGATACCCCGTAAAATGGACTAAGTTCAAGACTAGCTACGAATGTACAGCATGCGGCAGGTCGCCCTGACACGTACTATACGATGCAACTAATGCGATCATGCTACGATAATATGATATGTACCACTAAGGTGTATTGTGTATAATCCCTGTCAAAAACATACTGTATGTGTGGTGCAAGGGCGTGTTGTGCCACTTCGTTCCTCGTGAGCCTTCTGGAGAGATGCTTTCTCTCTGTTATCTTAGTAGACACACCGTTGCTGATATCACTGCTACTTTGATTAAACTTGCTCAAGTTATTCATTTTCCTCGCATGTACGTTATTATCTTTGAAACATACGTCGGGTTGAGGTCCGTAGTCAAAGTGGTCGGGCTTCCCGCAACTCATCGTACCTATCTATGTATATGTATTTATAACGGTGCTTGCTACAGCAGTCAGAGTATGATTTATCAGTATATGACGCCGTGTCGCTTTAAGTCTGTGATATAAATGATGTCACAAGTCACACCTATGTGGTACACAAGCTCAATGAGCATCTGGTGAACAGCTATCGATGAGCATTTGGTGAGCAACTAAATATCGGTGAACAGCTAAAATACATGCATATGTACATAAATACTTTCAATTTTTTTTTGAAATGTACAAACAATACACACATATTCCGCTGAAAAGAATCAAATCACGCTGGCGCAATAAATAAATGAATAGCGAGATTGGCGACTGGCGGCAGGCGAGTGGCGAGTGGCGACTGGCGAGTGCGGCCACAAGAGCCCTCTGCCAACGCGAGTCGGCTTTTTCACAGCAGCCGACCCTTTTTTCGGCTTTTTCAATCTAGAAAATATCTAGCAACCATTCATATGCTTTAGGGTTTAGGGTTAAATACAGCAACAACCACTAAAATTCATGTATTGCACCTCTAGGGTTTAGGGTTTAAAATAGCAACCACTTATACGCTCTTTTTAGGGGTTAGGGGTTTTAAGGGCCTACAGCGGTCCGGCCTCGCCCTTGGGGCTTGAGGGCTTGCGCTGCGTGTGAGCGGTGAGGCAGCCGCTCGTGAGTCGGGACTCGGGCACAGCCGTCTCCTCACTCTCCTGAGACCTGAGTCCTGACTCCGCCTTCCGCCTTCCGGGCTCCCTGGCAATTTTGTTTAAAATATACATATTTATATATATTTACTATAAGTCTACAATTTTTTTTTTGGTTTTTAAAAACAAAACACATTTTCAATCGTATGTCAATGAAAAGAAACCAAGTTTAGATTTTTTGCGTTTATTTTCATTTTGAAATATATATAAATTCGAATCATCATCGCCCCTCTCGACTCTACTCTAGAGAGTAGAGAGCGGGGTCTTCTCGGGTTCCGGGAAGGGATGCGTTAACAACAGGGAATTTGAGCAGAGACTCTATCAAGATTTCCCCACCCCTGACGAGACTCACGAGAGAGAGGGAGAGCCGTGACCGCCGGGCATGAAGTCAGCCTTTGCTGACTTGTTGGGCTGGGGAAATTATGATTTTTTTTTAATGATAGTCCAATATAATTTCACGAATGTACAGGATGTACCTACAAAAAAATTACCAAAATATCATAGCCTTCTAAATTATACAAAAATATGAGCTAATAAATTTATTGTATGTATATTTTTTATTATGTATATGTATGTATTTTTAATATAATAAAATGCCCCACGGTGATACACAGCCCAAATGTTCACAACGGGATGAATATTACTGTAAATAGTGATGTCTGGTCTCTGCTGGAGTATCTGGACTCTGGACTGACACTCTTCGCGGGGGTTTTTTACAAAACAAAAACAATCACGATAGGGGTGGACTACAAAACAGTAGGTTTTTTGAAGACGGGGATTTTTACTATAGAGGATGACCCAGAGGTATTTTGATTATTGACGTTCATTGGTCGTTAAATAGCTTAAAATGTTCGTCTTAACGAGTTAGCCACGCATTTTTAATTTCATCCCGATCGACCTATTGGTTCAAAAGTTAGGGCTAATACTGGTTTGTACCAGAAATGGGTCAGTCAACCTCTATAGTAAATATCCCCTGTCACCAAAAGCCAATATTTTTGTAGTCCAAACACAAAAAAAAAATCCACCAAGACCCAAAATTCTCATTACCTCAAGTCCTCAACAGGAAGGCAATGAAATTCCACTGAATCTAAAACTCAAATTGTCAAAACCTAATGGTAATCACTTGACGTCAGAAGACAATATTATCACGTTTTGAAATATTCTCTGCCATAAAAGGTATGTATACATTTTGCAAAATAAAATTACTCACGACAGCTCATTTATAGCCCCCTCTAAATATATGTGACTGTGTCACTGTGGTCTGTGACTCTGTGAGTGTGAGACACGGGCGACAATATAGTGCATTCAAGAAAAAAATATGAATGTACATTTTGTAGACGCAGTATTTACTACATTTATTTAAAACTTTACCACGCCTGTCCGATTAAATACTGTAGCTATTTACAAAGAAAAATTTAATACATTTATAATCAAGCTCGATATACTTTGTACACCACACTTTCCAGAGTGATATTCCGAGAAGTGCACTTTAATATAAATAAATATATACCACCAAAAACAGACGAGCAGGATGTCGATGCAAGATGTAAGTTATCAAGACTGTGTTATGAGTGTATGTGTGTCTGATATAGTTACTGGCATATTCATTTATGAAAAATATGCTGATGTGATTGTAGCATGCGAAAGTACATCGGCGGACTTTCACGTCAAGGGCGTAATATTGTATTAAGCCATTTCAGTAACCGGATCATTTGCTGCTTGTATTTAAACTTTTCTATGGAAACATAGGAATATTTTCGAT